CACCCTCCTGCAAAGAAGCGTTAATAATTCCCTGGAGCCAGGCTCGTGTACCCTCCCGAGCTGCCAGTACCAGCCAGGAGGGACACGGATCTAACAAACATGTGGTTGCATTCAGCCTCCCCAAGACCCTGTCCACGTCCTCGGGAGCAACAGAGTCAAACTCCTCCCATACAACCATCTCAAGACCTGCTTCCGTCTCATTTGGCTGGGGAGTTTTGGGAGTTCAACTCCACATATCTTAAAGTTGACATGATTAAAAACACGCCTCAGAAGAGCAGTGTGGTCAATGGTAGCAAATGCTACTGAAACCTAAAATGATTAGGACAGCCTTGTGGGTTCTGATGGGGTTATCCATAAGTGACAAATGTACTTTCTATTCTGACTCCCAGTGTCCTAAAAAAAATTAATTTCTCTCAAAATCCTCTGCAACTGCAATCTGGCATTCTCCAAAATGTCATTTTAAAAAGGAAGGTTGGAGAGTATCAAGACAGACATATTTGGATCCCTTTCAGTTACATGGAGATGTAACCTCAGCAAAAAGACTTGCAGCTTTTGCTTGATTATCGCTATCAAGAAAAGCCAATACCTACATATAGAGCGTTCCTTAATGTTTAATTGAAATCTGTTTCCGTGCCATTTTCATCCATTAGCTGTATTTTTGCCTCCTAATTCAGTACAGATAAACTCCTTTAATAATCTTCAAAAGTTGTTAAATAAAAGAAAAAGTTAAAACACAACGCTATCCGAATTAGTTTACAAGTTGAATCTGATGCTATCTGAATTACTAATCAATGAATACTCAGATTAGATCTTGCATTATATCAAACCACAGGTAGTCCTCGACTTGTGACAATTGAGCCCAAAATATCTGGTGTTAAATGAGAAATTTGTTAAGTGAATTTTGCCCCATTTTACAACATTTCTTGCCAAAGTTGTTAAGTGAATCGTGCAGTTGTTAAGTTAGTAACCCGGTTGTTAAGTGAATCTGGCTTCCCCATTGATTTTGCTTGTCAGAAGGTTCCAAAAGGAGATCACATGACCTTGGGACGCTGCAAACGTCATGAGTCAAGCATCTGAATTTTGATCACATGATCGTGGGGCTACTACCAAGATCACAAGGGTGAAAAAATGGTCATAAGTCACTTTTTTCAATGCTGTTGTAACTTTGAATGGTCACTAAATGAACTGTTGTAAGTCGAGGGCTGCCTGTATATCAATTTCTTTGCACT